CCCGCGGCCGCCGGGCCCGCACTCACCGCACCCGCCCGCCGCCCGCCGCCCGCCGCCCGCCGCCCGCCGCCCGCCCGGCCCTCCTCAGGCCTCCGCGGCCTCCGGGACAGGCCTCAGCCGCCCGCCGTCCGCGCCTCCGGCACCGGCCCGGCCCCACGCCCGGCCCCACCCCCAGCCCCGGCCCCATCCCCATCCCCATCCCCATCCCCATCCCCGGCCCCGGCCCCATCCCCATCCCCATCCCCGGCCCCGGCCCCGGCCCCATCCCCATCCCCATCCCCATCCCCATCCCCATCCCCGCCCCCGCCCCCGGCCCCGGCCCCATCCCCATCCCCATCCCCATCCCCATCCCCGGCCCCGGCCCCATCCCCATCCCCATCCCCATCCCCGGCCCCGGCCCCATCCCCATCCCCATCCCCGGCCCCGGCCCCATCCCCATCCCCATCCCCATCCCCATCCCCATCCCCGCCCCCGGCCCCGGCCCCATCCCCATCCCCATCCCCATCCCCGGCCCCGGCCCCACGCCGGCGGCGGCCGGTCCCCCGGGGGAGGGCGGGGGCGCGGGCGGAGGGCGGCGCCGAGGCCCCGGGCCGCAGCCGCCCCCGCGCCCTCTCTCCCGGGGAACGGCCGTGGGCGCCCCCAGCCCGCGCCCCCTCCCACCGGGACCGGGGAGGGGCGCCCCAGGGAAGGCGGCAGACGATTTCCGACCACCTGATTCGGGGCTTTTTCAAACGCCGCGGGGCGAAGGGTGGGAACCCGGGACGACGTCGCCGAAAGCGGGGCGTGTGGTCACCCCACTCCCAGGTTCCTCAGCCCCGCGGCCGGACCGGGCCCGCCTCCCGCGCCCGCGCCCGTACCTGCGGCGCCGGGTTCCCGGGGCTCCGCGCCCGCCGCCTCCGTCGCCCACGCCGGCCGCCCCCCCAGGCCGGGCCCGCCGTGCAGGCCGCGGGCGAGGCCCGGGCAGAGCCGGCCGGGCGCCGGCCCCGCCGGAAGCCGCCGCGGGCCCAGCAGCCGCAGCCGCGCCCCGGCGCCCGCCCCCGGCGCCGCGGCCGGGGAGACGGCCCCGAGGCCCCGCAGCGCCCAGGCCCGCCGCGCCGCGCACCCCGCGGGCCCCATCGCTGTCGCCGCGCGGCGACGTACGGGGCGGGGCTTAAGGAAGTTTCCGCGGCCTCCGATTGGCCCTGTCAGTGCGGCGCGGCCTGGAAATTTGACGTCTGGAGTGGGCGGAGCCGGGGCGGTGGGCGGGGCCTGAAGCCCTAGGGAAACAGCCGCGGCCGGGATGAGCTGATATGGGGCTCAGGTTTTGCCCACCCTGCTGGCCATGAAGGCAGGAATTTTATCTATCTATCTATCTATCTATCTATCTATCTATCTATCTATCTATCTATCTATCTATCTATCTATTTAAATTTCGTTCTTTAAAAAAAAATATATATATATATGTTTCTTTTTTATTGATTTTTTACAGAGAGGAAGGGAGAGGGATAGAGAGTTAGAAACATCGATGAGAGAGAATCATTGATCAGCTGCCTCTTGCACCACCCCTGCTGGGGATGTACCCGGCAACCAAGGTACATGCCCTTGACCGGAATCGAACCCGGGACCTTTCAGTCCGCAAGCCGACGCTCTATCCACTGAGCCAAACCGGTCTCGGCAGGAATTTTATTTATTTATTTAAATTTCATTCTTTTAAAAAATATATATATTTTATTGATTTTTTTTACTGAGAGGAAGGGAGAGGGATAGGGAGTTTGAAACATCGATGAGAGAGCGTCATTGATCAGCTGCCTCTTGCATACCCCCTACTGGGGTTGTGCCCACAACCAAGGTACCGGAATTGAACCCGGGACCCTTCAGTCCCCAGGCTGATGCTCTATCCACTGAGCCAAACCGGTTTGGGCTTATTTTGTTTTTGACTGTTCTCTCCACAGCGCCTAACTCAGCTGGTTGTGAAGGAACAGACGTTGCTGCTGTCGATCAGCCTGGAGTTAGGACACGTCATGTCCCACTCATCGCTCATTACCAAAAATGACCAAGATTCCCTTGCAAACTGGAAACCCCACGAGGAAAGTGTGTATTCTGGACAACTGGGGTGGAGGCGGAGGTGTAAAGGACCATTTGGAAAACGTTTTGAGTTAGGTCAGCCATCTAGGTGTGTCACTCTCCATGTGGACTTTTTATGCCCATGGATCGCACTTTGGGGTCCACCTCTGTGACCGTAGGAATGAATGCCCAGGTGTAGCAGTCACAGTGTTAGATCGCGGGGTCTGAGAGGTGAGAGGTCCTGGGAGGAAGAGCGACTTGCCTGTGGCCATACTGGAACCAGATGCTGTGTCTGAACTCCAGGCTGGTGACTTCTGGGAGGAAGAGGCCAGTAGAAAGGGACAAATATTCCAAATGCCTGGAACAGGGCCACGCACAAAGTAGGGCCTCCAAATGCTTGATACGTTAGAGAGCGGCCTCTAAACTGTTAAACAACTGAAAATTCAATGAGGGCAACTAGTGTTTATGAGTGAGTCAGAAGTGTTCAAAATGCAGACATTTATAAAAAGTCCTAAGAAATAAGAAACTCCCAGAATAACTTATTACCTACACATTTCAATTTTCATGGGAAGTTCTAATTCTCAGCGAACATTAATCGTCACTCCCCCATTTCATAGATAGCCATTCAGCAGAAGTTAAAGGAGTAGTTGCCGAAGTCACATAGAAAATATAAATCTAAAGAACTCATGATTTCAGCACTCTCTCCGGCTTTTTGTTAGATGGAAATGTTGGGGGGCTCGATAAGGATTTCAGCCCGCCTCTGACTTGCTTCCTTGGTGAGGGACTGCTTATCTGCTGCCCTCTGCTGCCCTCTGCTGATAGAAGGAAAGTTTGGATCTCAAGACCACAGTTCTCAAAATTAGGTGCTGGGAGCAGCATTCTCAGCATCACCGGAACGGATGAGAAATCCAAATTATGAGTCCACCCCTGGACACGGAATTAGAAACTCTGAAGGTGGGGCTCAGGAGAATGTGTTTTAACCTCCAAGTGATTCTGCTGAAACTCAGTAATAATACTAATGTCCTGGCCTCCTAATGGTCATAAAAACGACAAAGCATCTTCCCACTGCTCTGCCCTCGGGCCTCACATAGTGGTACACACCACAGTGCCACACACAGAGGCTTCCATGCCCATTCTCTCTCTCAGGGGGTCTGGCGCAGCCCTGTGGACCACACACCCATTTTACAGATGAGGAGACCGAGGCTCAAGAAAGGCCCAATAACTTGCCCAGGTTACTCACCTTTAAGTGGCAGGGCTGGGCTTGAATCCAGGTCTTCTGTCTTTACCTCCAGGTCAAGGGTTTCTTCAATTAATCCAATACAGGGTTTCTAACGTCTTGGCCAGATCACATGGGGTGCTTTGTTGTGGGGTGCTGTGGTTTATAGGATGTTTAGCAGCATTCCTAACCTCTACCAACTAGATGTCAGCAGCACCTCACCCTGGCAGTGACAACCAAAAACGCCTCCTAATATTATCAATGACGCTCAAGGGGCAGAGTAACCCATGGCTGAGAGCAGAGATCTGCAGCCAACACATAGAGGGGAGAAATATCACAATTCATGTTCTGCACTTGCTTTATACCTCAGAGATGGTTTCAGAACTAATAGCTTCATTTTGGGCATCTAGGCCATCTATGAAGTGAATGCACTAAATGATGCTCTCCACCAGCTCCTTGTAGGATTCTTCACCATTCCTTAAGAAAAGTAACAATAATCCCATAAGATTGTCTGGAACCCAGTATGTATGCACTTGAATTCCCCTTAGTTGTCCCAAGAATATATTTCACAGCCTTTTGATTATCCACACAGCTCCGATTCAGACTCCTAAGCTGCTTTCAGTTGCTGTGTCTCTCTAGTCTCTTCTGGTCTAGAACAAATGGTGGCCGAGGGGCGTATCTGACTTCCCACCTGCTTTTTGTTTGTTTTTTTAAATTAAATATATTTTTCATTGATTTCAGAGAGAAAGAGGGAGAGAGAGATGGAAACGTCAATGATGAGAATTATTGATTGGCTGCCTCCTGCAAGCCCCTCACTAGGGATCAAGCCCACAACCCAGCATGTGCCCTTGACTGGAATAGAACCCGGGACTTTTCAGTTTGCAGGCTGACACTCTATCCACTGAGCCAAACCAGCAAGGCGTTTGTAAGAGCTTGTTTGTCATTTATGTATGTGGTAGCAGAGTTGAGTAGCTGCGACAGAAGCTGTATGACACACAAAACCTACAATATTCACTATCTGGCCCTTTACAGAAGAAGTTTGCTGATCCAGGATTTAGAACTAGCCTCTCACCTTCATTTTTAAAATGCTGCTGACTGTTTCAGGAGTCCAGAGCAATTGTTTTTGGAAAACCTCTTCCTTTAGATTGGCCTGATTATACACACTTACATAATAAATTTATTGACATTTCAAACACTGTGAAATTTTAAGTATATATTTAAAAGTATAAAATGCTTGTGAAAATTAAATAACTTTCTATGTGTCAAAACTATAAATGAACTCAAAAGGCGAACAACAAATTAAAAAATAATTACAATTCCAGGATCTTGTCTCTTTTCATACTTTATTTTACAGGGAAGAGAGGCAAAAAATTGTCATGTCTGACATATGGTAAATGGTTTTAGTTACAAATGGAAGTTAAACCCTTACTGATCAAATTTCTATAACTTTTTTTTTTTTAACCCTCACCCGAGGATATGTTAACATTGATTTTTAGAGAGAGAGGAAGGTAAAGAGAGAGAGAGAAAAAAACACTGATATGAGAGAGAAACATTGATCAGATGCCTCCTGTACTTGTCCCAACTGGGGATCGAACTCGAAACGTGGGTATGTACCTTGGAGTATCGTTCCACATGCAAAAAGGTGACAGGCATTCAGACCTGTCACCTTTTTGCATGTGGAACGATACTCCCACTACTGAGCCACCTGGTAATTTAAATAAAGTAGTAGGACAACCAGGGGTCTCCTTTGGAAAATCACAATATGCAATTTCAAGTAAATGTGCTGGAGTGCATAGAAACTCACACACACACACAAGCCCGTCAGCACCGAGGGCCGGCCCGTCTGAGCAGCAACACGCCTGACACACAGGGAGCATGACGTGTCTGTGGGATACGCGAATGGATGCCATTTCTTTACACAGCGGGGCAGGGCAGGCTGGCACAAAAACATGCACACCCACTGATCAGATTTATTGTTATTTTAGCATAAAAAGCACCTGCATCATCGCAGGGGCGTGGCCTGTTGTCCTGTTGGGGGCTCGTGCATGCTCCTTGCAATAGGCTCCGGTACCTGGGAGCATGGTCTGGGGGACAGGAGGACAGTGCATTGACTGTACGCACGTGTGTGTACATGGGAAGCTAGAAAATGTCCAGCCTCACCTTCCAGGTGACCTGGTCCCTCTGATGAAGAGTACCTTCTCCCCCTACAGGGTATGTCTATCCTACTAATCCTGTGAAGACAGTAAAAGTGAAACATAAATCATAATGAAAGAAAGCACGGCTGACCGACTCCATCGGTTCTATAGCGTGGCCGAGGCTGCGCGCCATATAATTCCTCTCCACTTCTCTAAAATGCCATTTAATCTATAGAAAAACAGTGCACCTCCCTAACCCCAGTACATATTTTACAGCAGTGTCTCAGGAGAAAGTCGACAGTCCTCTTCGCTAGCACAGCTCACCGGGAAGAGCACAGGCACCGAAGAGCGAGCTGCTGGGGAGACATCAGGCGGAAGCTTTAAGGAGTCCCGGCTGGTTCTTGAGCAGGGGGTCTTTCTCCCGGCTGCCGGGGAGGAACTTGACCTTGGCGTGCTCCAGGAAGACAGTCAGGCCTTTGCCTCGGACCCCAGCGCTGTTGTCTATCGGTTTGTATTCCTTGCGTTTTCTGAAAAGCAACGTGTTAGGAAGATTTTTAAAACATCCCCAGCTGGGAGATATTCCTTTCCCCAAGCTTTTACCCGCCCGAGTACAAAAACGTTCACCCCATTTCACCTAATCTGTGGCTTTAAAATATATATTATTGATTTTTTACAGAAAGGAAGGGAGAGAGAGTTAGGAACATCAATGAGAGAGAAACATCAATCAGCTGCCTCCTGCACACCCCCCCCCCCCCACACACACACACTGGGGATGTGCCCACAACCAAGATACATGCCCTTGACCAGAATCGAACCTGGGACCCTTCAGTCCGTAGGCCGATGCTCTATCCACTGAGCCACACCGGTCAGGGCTAATCTATGGCTTTTAAGATTTTTTCTCTTCTTCATCCGAGACATGTGCCTGTTTACAGTAAGCTGAGCTTGCATGTTAAATATTGAGCTGACACAATTTTGTTAAGTTCCTGACATCTGGTAGCGTTGTTTGAATTAAAACAAAACAAAACACAACAACACAGAAAACCACAGCAAAATCAACAGGCTGGTTTGGTATCCATCGTTCAATGGGGAGATTTTCCTCCCACACACAGAATGGTTAAAGCCAGCCAGGGCGAACGGCCCATGTGGGCAGCACATGGCTGCTTGTTTTCAACAGCGCCCCGCAGGGATTTAAGGCGCTGGAACCGGCCGCTTACCTGTGCACCACGAGGGCGATGACGGCGACCAATGCGGCCACGCAGCCGGCGGCCAGGGCACCGCCTGCCATCCTCGCCGGGGAGCCCGGGCCTGGCGCGGGGGAGACCCGGTGAGTGACCGCTCCGCCGCGGACGCCGCTCGCAGGGCGACCACATGCAGGACCGAGCGCGCAGGAGGGACAGGGCCCTTTTCCCTGACGTGGCACCCGCCCTTCGGGTCAGCTTATCCCCGTTTGTTTGGAGAATGAGCCGGCCCGTCCGGAACGCGGTGCTGAGGGCTCAGGGGAGAGGGCTCCGTGCTCCTGCCCACGGCCTGGCCTCCTCGCCCCCTGCTTCCTCCCCGCTGTGCTGACCGCCGGGCGCTGCCCACCCTCCCACCCTCCCACCTCCTCGCCCTCTGAACGCCGGGCGCTGCCCACCCTCCCACACTCTCACACCTCCTCACCCTCTGCTGGGACTGCCCTTCCCCAGCTTATCTCAGTGCCCACCCCTGTGGGGCGCCTTCCAAACATTCATGGGGCGGCGGTCCCCCTTCCGTGGCCACTGCTCGCCCCCCCCCCCCTTCCTCTGCCTCAGCCACGTTGTGTTGCAATTGCTTCCTGTCACCTATGTCTCTCCTGTTAAGTGGTGACAACCAGGAAGCAAGGGTTTTATGTCTTCCCTTTACTCCAGGAACCCAGCAGATCCGGTCTCGGCCGCCAAAGCATCACCGGGGCTGATCTTTCTTTCCTCCTTCTCCTCCGCCACCACCATCGCAGTCCCAGCACCAGCCCTCTCCCCGGAGGAGATCTCTGACCTCCCCTGGCCCTGCCGCACTCATAGCCAGCAGGGCCTCCTGAGAGCATGCAGCAGGGCCTCCCGAGAGCATGCAGCAGGGCCTCCCGAGAGCATGCAGCAGGGCCTCCTGAGAGCATGCAGCAGGGCCTCCTGAGAGCATGCAGCAGGGCCTCCTGAGAGCATGCAGCAGGGCCTCCCGAGAGCATGCAGCAGGGCCTCCCGAGAGCATGCAGCAGGGCCTCCTGAGAGCATGCAGCAGGGCCTCCTGAGAGCATGCAGCAGGGCCTCCCGAGAGCATGCAGCAGGGCCTCCTGAGAGCATGCAGCAGGGCCTCCTGAGAGCATGCAGCAGGGCCTTCTGAGAGCATGCAGCAGGGCCTCCTGAGAGCATGCAGCAGGGCCTCCTGAGAGCATGCAGCAGGGCCTCCTGAGAGCATGCAGCAGGGCCTCCTGAGAGCATGCAGCAGGGCCTCCTGAGAGCATGCAGCAGGACCATACTTCCCACCCGCCAGTGGCTCCCCTTCCGCACAGAACAAAACCCTAACCCTAACCCTAACCCTAACCCTAACCCTAACCCTAACCCTAACCCTGCAGGGACCACAGTGGGCTGCTCCCACAACCAACACACAACACTCACGCCTGCCCCGGACGGAGACGAGGGTGCTGGCGAGGGCCAGGCTGGCGTCGTCGCCCAGAGTGAGGTTCACGCAGAAGGTCCCGGGGCTGCGGAAGGCCCGCCGGACGGTCAGCAAGCAGGCGGCGCCCGCGGCCGCCTCCGCGGGGCTGCAGACCGTGTTCTGGGCGAGCTGGCAGGAGGGGTCAGACACCACCGTGCAGACCTCGGTGGGCATGCTGAGGGCGTGCACAGCGCCGGGAGAGGGAGGGAGAGAGAGAGGGACCAAGCAGCTTTAAAGGAAAAATCATTTCTACAAAATTGAAATCCACCTTATTTCCCCTCAAATACCTGACGTTTGAGCCACTGTTTCCTGCCTACTGTCTGGAAGGTGAGGCCGGGGGATGGGACAGGAAGAAGCTATGTGCCACCAAGGCAGGCCAGGGGCTGCTGGACGCTGTGTGAAGCCCAAGCCATGGCCTCCACCTTCTACCCTCCAGGATGCAGACGGCGGTAGGTCTTAGGCAAATGCATCCTAGAAGCCAGAGCCGGCCTGCCCAGGTTCCTGCAGAGGACAACACAGCAGCGGCGGCGGCGGCAGCTGCGTATGACGTTTACTGTGTGAGGCCTGCATTTTGGATGTGGGACATGGTCTGCCTATTCCTCTCAATGACTTTAGGAGGAAAGTGACATTATCCCAGCGTAGCAAGGGACGAAGCACTCAGGACAGAAGACATTGGCCCAAGATCACACAGCAGTCAGAGGCGGAGCTGGGACTTGAACCAGAGATGTTTGATAGCTGTCCTTGTGACCACTGGGCCACCCGGCCAGGCAGGATTGTTTAGCCACTGTTTCACTTCTGGAGGGAGAAACAGGGCTCTGATGCTGGGTGCCATGGGAGCGTGGGGGGCGATGGAGGCATGCCCCGGCCTCTGCCACAGCCTCACTCTTCAGTCGGCTTTTTCTCTAGTTCCTGTCAGTCCTCTGTCCCCAAGCTGTCCCATACTCTTGTTCATTCATACATTTACATACACATACATTTTTAAAAAATATATTTCTTCTATTGACTTCAGAGAGGAAGGGAGAAGGAGAGAGAGATAGAAACATCAATGATGAGAGAGAATCATTGAGAGACTGCCTCCTGCATACCCCCCACTGGGGATCAATCCACAACCCAGGCGTGTGCCCTTGGCCGGAATCGAACCCGGGACCCTTCAGTCTGCAGGCTGATGCTCTATTCACTGAGCCAAGTCGACTAGGGCCATACACATACATTTTAATCACTGGATTTATGTGTATGTGAATCAGTTAATTCATGAACAATTAATTGATGTAGTACATATATTCACTGATATCTACTTAGTCTATTATATTTAGTTATAATCAAACCGTAGGAAGCCAAATTATAAAATGCACTAGAGGAGCTTTGTAAATTATAAGGAGAGGCAGGATTGTCAGGCATTGCTGTTAATTAATACTGGGACCCAGCTACTCCTCCTCGGCCTTTTGCCACTCTGGAGGAGCCTCGGGGAGCCTAGAGAGGGCCTCTGCCCTGGCCAGTGTGGCTCAGTTGGTTGAGCATCATCCTGTGCACCAAAAGGTCGCCGGTTTGATTCCAGGTCGGGGCACAGGCCTGGGCTGCAGGCTTGATCTCCAGTAGGGGGCGTGCAGGAGCCAACCTATCCATCATTCTCTCTCATATCACTGTTTTTCTTTCTCCCCCTCTCCCTCCTCCCTCTCTAAAATCAACAGAAACATTAGGGGGGATGGGGGGAAAGAGTGGGTTTCTGAGCCAGAGCTTGGCCTGTGGACTGTGCTGACAGGGACCCCCTGTCTGGTGGGTTAGGTTCTGTAATCGCCATGGCCCTATCTGTAAAATGAGGGCACTCAGGATTGTGTGAAAACAGAGGGACCAGGGTACGAACACAGTAACCGTCCGATCAATAATGATCATTCAGCTTCACCAGCAGTTACAGGTGTGAGCACTGCTCTCCTTCAGCAAACAAATGCATCCTTGAGAAGGCCTCGAGGGGTCCTGCCTCGTCCTGGCTTCCTGACGAACTAGGACTAGGAGCCCACTTGTTCGGGGAGATGGGTCAGGCCTCTGCTCAGGCCTGGCGTCCCCACTTGGCCGCCCTCTGGGGAGGCGAGGTACTCACGTCCCCTCGCAGGCCACCAGGAAGTCCACCAGGGGGTCCTCGGGCGGCGGCAGGGGCGGCAGAACTTCTGTCACGTCCACGATGCTCGCCTCTAGGATGCCCTCTGACAGAACGACCCCCCATGGGAAAACACATCAACATACAAGGGAAACCAACCCAAATCAGACCACCCCACGCCACACACTCCCGGACCCGGGACCCCACCCACCGCCTCGCATACGTGCCCCTGCAGCACTTTCAAAGTCAAACTGAACGGTCCTCAGCCCACCCTCGCTCGTCATGTCTGACCCCGTGTCCGTGTTCGAAGGCAGTGCCCGCTCTGGGCGGGGGCTCCAGGAACAGGTGCCCCTGGGGGACGCAGCCCCAGGTGCACTCCCCCAGGCCCAGGGGGCCCGGCCTGGCTCAGACCCACTGCCTTCTCTGTTGGGTGCTTGTGGGCTGTGCCTGGAGTGCACACATGCGTGTGGTGGCCCTGTTCACTCACACTTCTTACATACAAGAAGCGTGGCTTTGAGAAACCGGCGAGGGGAGAAGGCGGGAGTTGTGGGAACTGGTCACGGGCCTTCTCGTGAGGCTCATTCATTCAGGTTCCCGGGGGGCACAGGCCGGAGAGCCAGGGCCCGCAGGCTCCTCGGGATGCGGGCCTCACGGAAGCTCCTGTCCCCTGGTTCCTGGCGGGAAGGCTGGGGAGGCAGGAGGCCATCTAGACACCAGCAGAGTCTTTGCCTGGGAGGGAGTGGGTGGCCCTGCTCCCCGCCCGCACCCACCAGACTCAACGAAGTGAGCGGGTGGCCTGAGGTACATCCCTCCCCTGCAGGTCTTACCGACGATTGTGAGGACAGCTCTGAAGTGGCCGTATCGGTCAATCCGGCAGTCTTCGTCCAGACCCTCCCTCAGCTCCAGCAGGCCGTCCCCCGTGGGGGCTGCGGAGTTTGAACAACAGAGTTTAGGTTCGTTGCTGAGGATATAAAAGATGTACGTGATAGAACCCAAAATCTAACCACCTGTCTGCCTGCTCTTTATTTTTATTTATTATTTTTTAAAAATTTCTTTATTAAGGTATCACATATTTGTCCTCAACCCCCCATTCCAATCCCCCACTCCTCCCTTTAGAAAAACATCAAGAACTTTTAAATTGCTATCGAAATGCGAACTACACATATATCGATGCATATAGATGTGAGAGCCGTAAGGCACTGTCAAATTATGCAAGTAAATACCATCTCATATTTTGCTTAAACATCGGCAGCAAATGAAAGGTAGAAGCCATTTAAAATATGTAATACAACAGTCATGATGAAATATGGTACACTACAGCATATATAAGATATATAATTTTCAATAGTAAGGAAGGTGCATCATAGATTAAGAAACAAGCAACATGGAAGGAGGCAATTTCCCCCTCGTTTGGCTGTCTCACAGCTGCTAAACTTACACTGTAAGAGCCCTCAGTCATTGGTGAGCAGAGATGTGGGGAATAGGAAAAGGCACAAGATGCTTTTGAAAAAATAACCCTTTGAGTAGGATTAAAACAACGAATGTAATGCCCTGTACACCTGGAACTAATATAATGTGATACATCAATTTTACCCCAGTAAAAAGATAATTAGTTATAACTTCAAAAGCTCTAATTAAGGTGTTGGTATTCCTTTAACAAGATAAAAAGACTGGGAAGAAAGTATGATAGTGAAAATGTAGCATTACTGTCTCTAAAATTTAAGAAGGCGTGAAATGGACCCCATTTTGCGGGAAGGGGCCCCTGTTTACCACGGGACACGTGGCCTGGAGCCCCTGGGAAAGCTCGCCGGGCCTCCTCGGGGCCGAGCATGAAGCTCCTTCGCTCTGAGGGGCCTTCTCAGGGCATCTCTGGAAGCAAGGTTCCATGGCACACACTTTGGGAAGTGCCACTTGGGAAAGCTTGCAAGGCTCCGATGCCATGTTGGGTTCAAATGCAGCGGGTTATCAGCAGGACTGCCTGCGGCAGACTCTTGGGGATGTCCCCCGAGTCTCGCAGTGGTCCTTCGGGAGTTACAGGATAATCACTCAGTCCTGAGACTTAACCGCTGTGTTCTGTAGCAGTAGATTTGTGTGTACAGGGTATTAAAGATGGCTGGCTGTTTCCAGGAACCAGAGAACTTCTAGAGTTCTTGACAGGCAGAAGGTAGCTGTCAGTTAGAGCAGTGGATGGCAAACTCATCAGACGAGCTGCATGTGGCTTGCGAGCTGTGGTTTGCCGACCACTGAGTTAGAGCATGGAATCATGACTCTGCTATATTTCAAAATAAAACTTTAAAAAATGACCAAGTAGCCGAAAACCGGTTTGGCTCAGCGGTAGAGCGTCGGTCTCCGGACTGAAAGGTCCCAGGTTCGATTCCGGTCAAGGGCATGCACCTTGGTTGCGGGCACATCCCCGGTAGGGGTTGTGCAAGAGGCAGCTGGTTGATGTTTCTCTCTCATCGACGTTTCTAGCTCTCTATCCTTCTTCCTTCCTCTCTGTGGAAAATCAATAAAATATATTAAAAAAATGACCAAGTAATAAAAGTTGCTTTATCATTGGTAGAATGCTTATAAAAATGCATGTGTTGCTTTGCAGACATACCTAAAGTTAAGTTTATATCTCTGTGTCTATATTTATAAAGTCAAGGTATGATTAAAGGGCTACTGGAGAAAAACGAACACTTTAACAGACAGATGGGCCCTGGCCAGATAGCTCGGTTGGTTAGAGCATCATGCCGATTTGTCAAGGTTGTGGGCTCCTTCCTTGGTCAGGGCACATGCAAGATTCAACCAATGAATGCATAAATAAGTGGAACAACAAATGGGTGTTTCTTCACCTCTCTCTCTCACCCTCTTCCTCGCTTTTCTCTAATAAAAATTAATAAAATATATTTTAAAGAATAAAATTAGTAATAAATTATAGTGTCTTGATTTACATATGTTTGGTTTAATAATATCTAATTTTATTGATAACACTATTATGATAGTTTATTACTTATAACAAACAGGTTTTTGGTAAAAAACAATGACAAGTTTAGACATCATGATGGCATGGTTCCTCTGGGCTTGGTGATGGCGCCCTCTTGTGTCCAATGAGAGGATGCCAGCCTATTACAACGCCCTGGATCCTGGGGTGCTAAGATATGTAATGGCTGTGTGGGGAAGGGAAGCTAAGGCTTCCCAAAGAAGACGCTTAAGAACTTCTTGAATGTCCTCATATGCTATTAGTAGAGGGTGGGATTTAATCCACTAAGCTTTATATCCAGAATAATTTTAATGTCTGTAGTCTTTCCAGCTTGCTGACCAAGAAATATCCTCAAGGTACATTCCATTTAGAAAGTGCTTTTAGGTGTGGCTGTGTCTTCATGGGACAGTGAGTGGATGTGGGCAGCGAGGGAGGAGGATGGAAGCGGAGAGAAAAGTGGGCGGGAGGAAGGGAAGCAGGATGGCCGGAAGGTTTTGGTACAAGACGCCAGCGTGTCTTCTCATAGCAACAAACGTGAGCTTGAGGGGGGAAGCACCTGCTCACGTGACAGAGGCCAGTGAACACCAGGTCAAAGAGAGGTTTACAAGTCACTAACGTTTACCTGCAAAGTCTTCACACATATTCTAATAGCTTAAAATAGGGATAAAGTGGCCGTAAGAACCAACAGATGTTTGCAGTCTGGACACAACCCTTTGACCTGGGGCTGTGACACTAACTTCCATGCCATTTCCTTTTAGCAGTTAGGGACCCCTGCCCCCAAAGAGCACTGGAGAACACTTACGCAGAGAAGGGGTGGGTTTTGGAGGTCTGGGGGTTGGTGACGGGCAAGGTCCAGGCACTGCCGCCTGCACAGTGAGGTTCACGCTGAAAGTCCCGTTGAACACGTACGTGTGGTTCAAAGTGCGATGGTTGGAAATGTACAGACCAGTATTATCCCCGAAGTTCCACCGGTAGCTAATGATAGACCCACTCAGGAAGTGGCTGGGGTCATGGATCAGGACATTGAACAGAATGGGAATGTCCCTGAGGAAGGTTTCGTCAGAGGCATTTCGATCATTCTTCTGGGACATATTCACAAACACAAGAATCTGATCTGAAAGACATAGATGTTTAGGAAGAATGCATGATTGCTTGGTTTTAAGTGGATGAATTCAATAACACTTTGCCAAACATTTAAATTAAGGATAATTCAACATCGTTTTTCTTTTTCCTGGGTAAGTTTTTCTAGAGTTTCCCCATGCTAATCTGGAAAACAGAGGGAGTACATCCTTGAATATAAGTTTGAGGAGGAGCCCTAATCAGTTTGGCTCAGTCGTTAGAGTGTCGGTCTGTGGACTGAAAGGTCCCAGTTTCGATTCCCGTCAAGGGCATATATCTTGGTTGCGGGCACATCCCCAGTGGGGGGTGTGCAGGAGGCAGCTGGTCGATGTTTCTCTCTCATCGATGTTTCTAACTCTATCCCTCTCTCTTCCTCTCTGTGGAAAATCAATAAAATATATTTAAAAAAAAAATAAGTTTGAAGAGGAGTCCAGATGAACGGTGACCCAAACCGGAACGCTCAGCCTCACTCCTTGACCCAGGAACATCATCGGAACGAAGGGCCCTGCTCAGTTACTGAGCTTTCACACGCTCACCTGTCACCAGGTACACATCTTTCGCTTCTGCAACGGGAGCGTATGCCCTTCCGTCTCTTCTGTAGACAGCTACCTCCATGACTTGCGGGCCAAGCGTCACGTTGGTTGTGTTGATAGAAATACTGGCTGAGGACCGTCCCAATTTCTGGTAATACTGACCTGTGAGAGGTGGGAATGGTTAGGTGTTGGTTACTGTTACAGGACCATGAGAGGAAGCTGTTTCTTAACAACGAGCCACGGTCATTTGAGATTGCTCGCTCTGGGGAGGGAACACCAGGAAGTGTTGTGACATGAAACCTTATAAAGCAAACCTACAGTTAAATAGACGTAACTGCATGGGTAAAACGAACAGAGCTGTTTGGTGGGATAATGCCATCGCTAGTTCATAAATAAACACTTATTATAAATAAGTGCCTTGGCACTTGAAATAGATGTGACTTGGCACTTGAAATAGATGTATTTCCCATAGAAAATACATTAAAAAAAATATATTTCTTTATTGATTTCAGAGAGGAAGGGAGAAGGAGAGAGAAATAGAAACATCAGTGATGAGAGAGAATCATTGATAGGCTGCCTCCTGCACACCTCCTACTGGGGATCAAGCTCGCAACCTAGGCATGTGTGCCCTTGGCCGGAATCGAACCTGGGACCCTCCAATCCGCAGGCTGATGCTCTATCCACTGAGCCAAGACGACCAGGGCGAAAATACATTTAATGTAATGGTGAAGTGACCAATGGCATTTTAAAAAATTTATCCAAGAATCAACCTTATTTTTGTAATAATATCACTATTCTGGCTATGTAATTAAGAAGCTTTTTTTTTTTTTTTTTTTTTTTTTTTTTTTTTAAGGGGACTAGAGTCCTCCACTCTCTAACAGTGTTTGCGTACAGATAGGCAGTAAGTGATGGATGGTGTGGTGGGTATAAAAGGAATGGCGCGGTTCTCTAAAAGCATTCTAGGACACCAGTGAGCCATTCTTTTTCTTTTTGTACAAACTAAAATCTGGCTGCCTCTGTCAGCAGCGGAAGTGACTCCTCTCCTTCAGGGCCCGAGGACGTTTCTCATCCTTTTGGGTCACGTGGCAGAGAAGTGACAGGCATTGTAAGATGGATGCTTGTGAGATGTTGGAAGACCATGTTTATCGCCTGTTCAAAGGTGCTAGGAAAATACACCAGACTGCTCAGGGATGTGTCATTTGGACATTCAGAGACAGTTCTGATGGAGTCTCTGAGGGGGTTCGTTGTATGCGAGGAAAACGTTAGTTCCGGCACCGAGAGAGGCTCAGGGGCAATGCTTAGTGGGGAAAATATCAGTTCACTCTGAGACCTCAGCAGAGGATGGGATTTCAAAGCAGTCTTGTTAGAAAAACAAAAATTCCTGGCTAAAAGCTGATCGCAAACAAAGACATCTTAACTAGTTAAGGTAATGGATGTTAACTAGGCTACACAGACTCCTAGTGTCAGTAAGCGTAAGCGACTCTGTGAAAACTCCATGTCAGGTCAAAGAAATCATGACACGGGTGAGGGGCCAGACCAAGGGCCAGACATGCACTGAAAAAGTCAGCTGTAAATCAACTGATTTAAACAGATGGCATAATATTTGACATGTATTTTGTTCTTTGTTCAATCAGAGTGCATTATTAATATTTTGTTTTGATTTGCAAGTAGTTCGTTGGAGAAAGAGAAGCTTTCTCTAATTTACAAAATGAAAGACAAAGCATTTAGGAATTTGGAGGCTGTACTATTGGGAGCAATTTTCAAACTTGCAGAGCCAGGTGGTACCTGGTGACAATCTTAACCAAGGACTTAGCAGCTTTGCTAGAAATAACTAAAACCTGCTCTTCCCAAATGTAGTCACTTCGCCAGCAATAGACAAAGTGGGTACCATTTGTGGGAAAAAAGGAAACGAGGTTGGCTATGCCCAAGAAGAGCAGAGGTTAGATTATGTTATTTCTACACAATGGAATGTTATATATAGTCATTTAAAAAATGTATATAAAGAATTTTAATGATACAATCAAATACTTGTGACATCAAGAAAAAAAATCTGTGTACTTTATAGTCCAAATCAAGAAATACTAGTAAAGAAAACACCACTGTGTTAACAGTGATAACCTCTGGTGTTAATTATGGGTGGCTGATTTTTCATTTGTACATTTCTGCATCTTCCCAATTTCCTAAAAAGAACATGTTTCTTTCATTCTTAAAAACTCATTTGACAATATAAAAAGTTAAAGAATAAATCAACAAATGACCATCTTGTGCCATGTGCCATTCCAATAAATAAATAAGTTTTTTTATTTTTTTTTATTTTTTAACAAAGAAAGCTGAATCGGGGCTGTATCCCCCTTCTCTCCTTCTAATTCTTTGGTGTCCTGGGAGCTAAGGAACGTTAACAGATGAACTATGGTTAAACTCTCCGTGCTATTCGTTCTTGGTTATAGAATAAGAAAGGAGAAAGAAATGTAGATGTTAAGCAAAGATAAAGGCGAAGCTAAAGGGGTTTGTAAAAGTCCGACCGAGCGTGTGGAACACGTAGACGAAGCCGCACTTGCTCCCCCCGTGGTGGTGGCGGTGGCGGCGGCGGTGGTGGTGCGGGAACGGCCTGCCGTCCGGGAACTCGCCGTAGCTGTGGCTGCTGCCATTGCCCCCGTCGGCGTCCTCGGCCCACGCGGTCCAGTTGTAAACGTACGGGTCAGCGGAGGGGCCTGCTCCTGAGCAGAGAAAGAAAAACCGGGATTGTCGTCCGGATCAGGCTGCTCCATGCTCACCATTGAATCAGACACTTTTCATATGTATTTTTTTTCAAAGCTGGTTTCAATAGAGTTGAACAACGACAGCCCTAATATTCAGAATTCACCCAACGGTGCATGTATGACCTGTGCGTTTTCCTGGATGTGTCAGGTATGTTCAATTCCATACGTTTTATGTATTGATAGAACAAACACTCAGGAACGTTCCATCTAGCGCACGCAGGTCACACTCGCGGCCCCGGAGCCATGTGCCTCGTTTGGCCCGCGTTCGCCTGTGAGTTTGACCTGCTGGATCTACAATAGAAACCTCGCTTCACATGCTTCCTCTTCACCCCGAGTGTCCAAGTCACAACTGCATTCAAACCAAACCGAGGGCAGTTTTGTCTTCTTAAAGGCACTCTATCTGTAGCCTTTCTCCCCGACTTCGTGGACACCCTGACTGCCCACTCCTAGAGACTTCAGCACACAGTTCCTTAGAACGAGGGTGTCCTCTGACACAGGCACAATGCCATTGCCACCCACCACAGCAATCAGGCTCACACGCTGCATTTGGCTATTTTGTTTCAGAAAGAAAGGAAGAAAGGAAAGAAGGAAGGAAGGGAGGGAGGGAGGAGAAAAATGAGGAAGGAAAAGAGGAAAAGAGAAAGAAGGAGAGAGAGGGAGGGAGAAAGAGAGAGAAAGAGAGAGAGAGAGAGAGAGAGAGAGAGAGAGAGAGAGAGAGAATTTTAAGTACAGCACTTTTAAACTATCAAACCGGTTCTATATAGAATCTAGTGTTTTTCTCATAGGAATATGATAAATCAATAAACTGTTGACAGTTTAATTGAAGTTCTAAATAATAAAATTAGATCACTAGGTGCATTTAATAGCCTTGTCCCTGATCGAAGAATCTTAGTAATTAGCTCAGCATTTTTAAGAATGTGCAGTTCCAACAAGACCGTTTCCCTTAATGTATTTGTGTGTATTTTCACTCTTTAACAAAGAACTTATCCGCTTTGACTAAGACCAAAACAAATCCAAAATACAGATACCTTGTCATTTGTGCTAGTCACACAGCACTTGCTGAAGAAATACCTGTGAGCAGAATTACTCTAAGCAGCAAACATCTGTCAAATTGGCTATTCCTCGAGTAGCCAAAAGAATTCCGTCATAAAACCAAAACTTGAGAACCAACAAGGTATTCTCTGTCCAATCACCTGGACACTAAGAACAAACTGAGCTTGCCAAGGCAGCTCTGAAGGAGGGCTCCAGGTAGCAGAGAGCCATCCGTTTGCCGAAGGGTCGTTGGCTAATGTTGGTGAAGGGACTGAGTGGAATCACACTCTCACCCTCCCCTTCACCAGCTTGAGCGGGTGACATGGGATGACAGCAGCAACTTGCATTCATGGGAGAAGTGCCCACGAGGATCAAGGTTTCTCAGATGGGTCTCCGGTAGCTCAGAGAACTAGCGTGTTCCTGGGACGTGAATAACATTCCTTACCGTCTGTGCAGTTCTTCTCATAGACGATGTTGCCATCGGCATCTTCCTTTTGGCATCTGGGGAACACCAGGTTCACCACAAACGTTATATTTGAGCCCACCAGGGCTGGGGAATCACTGGTCAGAACTGCCTTCACCTGGCCTCCTAGGGCAAAGAAAGATGGAGCTCCATGATCAGGCATCCCTTTCCTGTCACTGATGAATGACATCAAGTCAAATCTAATTCCGAGGACCAGCTAGAGGATCCTTACGCCTCTTTACAATACATTAATTTATTTTCCGGATTCCTAATTTTGTTTACAGAATACAACATTCTAGAAGATAAATAATAAATAGTAAGAAGTTGTTATTTATTAGACCAGTTAAAGAATTCTCTAAACACAGAAAGAACATTCACTTAAAATAAGTTTTAAAATCTGCTTACTTGGATGGAAAAACCAAGTATTAAAAGTTTGTATTTTTTTTTTTTAACTCAAAACCAATGACTGAAGAAGCCATTCATTCATGTGGATAGAAAGGTACTCACTTCCTGACAAGCCACAGTGTTGAGATGGTCAGAAACTACTCTGGAGCCTCAGATCTCCTGGACAGGACCGTTCACACATTCGTTAAATGGGTTTGAGATCAAACCCTGCTCACTCTCCAAAGTCTTTCAAAAACCATAAACTTATAACTTCTAAGGAGATCAAACTATTGTATTTAGGTGCGTGACGTAGAAAGCGATATGTTAAGATAAAGGAGAGAATGCCAAATCCAGATGCCGAGAGCACTGTCATTCACAGAAGAAACACAAGCCACATGATTTCCAAGTCTATAATCTGAGACTAACTTAAATAGGAAATGACAGTTGTGTGGGTTGGGTCATTCCACTTACCTCTCCAGGATTTTTCCCACCTCGGGTCTCCTCTTTTCCACACCGGATAGAGTCTTTCATTCCAATCATTTTCATCTGAAGACCAACCATTTAATTGGTTGTGCTCCCTCATATGAGCAGAAGTTCTTTCATTGCCCAGCACATCATGAAATCCTGTATCAATATTAAAAAAACCAATGATTTAGTCAACTCTATTCCTTGTTTAGTACTTACCTAACAATGGTTCAAGTCACTTTTTATTTCATAAGGTTAGAAAGAACATACGTAATATTTTCAATATGTCAAACAAGTAAAGTTTTTTAAAAAATCAGGAGAGGGCTTCAGGCTCCAGGCTAGACAAGAATTCTTAGATGTAACACCAAAAATCCATCCCATGGAAGGAAAAAAATGATAAATGAGACCTCATTAAAATAAAAAAAATTCTGCTCAGTGAAATATCATGAGAAGAGGATGAAATAGCAAATGAAACACAGGGAGAAAATGTTAGCAAACTGCATTTCCAAGAAAGAGCTAATATCTAGATTACAGGGGTCTTCAAACTTCTCTCATTATGAGAATCACCTGGTGGAGTTGTTAAAACACAGATTCCCGGATCCCAACTATAAGAAGTGCTATCAGGAATCTGTGTTTTAACACCTCCACCAGGTGATTCTCATAATGAGAGAAGTTTGAAGACCCCTGATCTAGAATATATGAAGAATTTTCAATGCTCAGTGTTAAAACTCAATCCAATCAAAAGACCTGAACAGACATTTCACAAAACAGGTTGTGCAGTCAGAGAGACACAGATGAAAAGATGTTCAGTTTCGCCAACCAGTAGAGACATGTACATTACAAGCCCAATGAGATTCCACTGTACACCCTTCAGAATTACCAAAATGAAAAACAGGGACACATCTGATGCAGGTGACGAGGGGAAGAAACTGGATCACTAAGACACGGCTGGTGGGACTGTAGAATGGTCCAGTCACAATTCGAAAAACAGTTTGTAGTTTCTCGTAAAACTAAGCATGTAATTACCATGCAACTAAGCAATTGAACCCTTGGGCATTCACCCCAGAGAAAAGGAAACTTATGTTCACATAAAAACCTGGGCACGAATGTTCCTAGCAGCTTTATCCAAAACAGCCCACACTGAGACAACCCAGATAGCCCTCTCTGGGTGAAGGGTTAAGGTGTGGTCCATCCAGGCCGTGGAATACCACTCAGTAGTAAAAACAAACAAACAAACAAAATGACTGACACATGCAACATCGTCAGTAAAGTACATTGAGTTAAAAAAAAAAAAAAAAAAAAAAAAAAAAAAAAAAAAAGCAGCCAGCAGAAACTGGTTTGGCTCAGTGGATAGAGCGTCGGCCTGCGGACTGAAGGGTCCCAGGTTCGATTCCGGTCAAGGGACCTTGGTTGCGGGCACATCCCCAGTGGGGGGTATGCAAGAGGCAGCTGAATCGATGTTTCTCTCTCATCGATGTTTCTAATTCTTTGTCCCTCTCCTTTCCTCTCTGTAAAAAATAAGATATATTTTTTTAAAAAGAAAGAAAATGAATTGGTGGTTGCCAGCAGCTGGGGCTGGGTGCTTTGGCTGTTAAAGGGATGAGGGACCCTTGAGGTGATGGAACGGTCTGTATAGTGATATTATACACTAGTTTTATAAGATGCTACCAGTGGGAGAAACCTGGGAAAGAGTACAGGGGGATCTCTTTGTAGTATTTTTTAAAATACATTTTTATTGATTTCAGAGAGGGAGGGAGCGGGAGAGAAAGATAGAAACATCAACGATGAGAGAGAATCATTGATTGGCTGCCTCCTGCACCCCCCCCCCCCCCCCACACACACACACACTGAGGATTGAGCCTGCAACCTGGCATGTGCCCTGACAGGGAATCGAACCGGTGACTTCTTGGTTCTTGGGTTGACGCTCAACCACTGAGCCACACTCAGCTGGGCTGTAGTATTTCTTACAAATGTACATGAATCTACAATGACCGCAGAATTACAAGTTGAATGAAAAGCAGAAGGGAAAAACAACACCCAATAGTAAGCAGACTGGAAGGGGAAGCAGAGGGGTGTGCTGGCAGGGGATGGTGGGATATGAGGGGGGAGGATACATAGGAAGGTCAATGGAGTCACTCCCAGCTCAGCCCTGGCTTTCCTGTGGGCAGTTGGGCCTCCCCGCTCGCCCATCACCACCTGCGGCTGAGGCTGATCCTCAACGAGCTTGTCAGCACCTTCCTCTCCCTCCTTCCTCCCAGGGCTGTGATTGGACAGCGGTGAGGGCCCCTTAGTGTGTGAGACACTGAATCCTACCCGTCCCGTTTGCTGGGGCCAGCAGCTCTGGGTGAGGGCCAGGAGGAGCCGGGACATCAGTGTTTTGTTACGTTGCCTAATGGGCTGAGAGATCCAAGCCCGCTGGTCTGTTCTCGGAGCTAAGCCAGGGGTGTGGGTGGGGAGGAGGCTAGGACTGGGCGCAGGCCCCCGCTCAGGAGGCTGGCTGAGAAAGACGATCGCTACCTTGTAGGCCTCCCACTCCAAGCACCTGCCGTTGGCTGATCTCGCAAGAACCCCTTTTCCAGTTTGGCAGAGGAGGAAATGAAAGCTGCGTGGAGCCGAGCCGCCGTGCCCGCCCGCTGCTGGCGGGGGGCCCCGCAGCTGTGCAGCCGTGGGCGGGACGGTAGCGTGACAGCGGCTGCTTCCATTCCCAGCTGCGTGGCCCAGGGCCAGTGACCGGATCATCCCAATGCCAGCCTCCTGGGAGAGGACGGAATGGCAAAGGAAACACTGCATTTCCCAGAAAGAGCTAATCTCTAGAATATACGAAGAGTTTTCTTTTCTTTTTAAATTTATATACATTTTATTGATTTTGTACAGAGAGGAAGGGAGAGAGATAGAGTTAGAAACATGGATGAGAGAGAGCCATCGACCAGCTGCCTCTTGCACACCCCCTACTGGGGATATATGCCCGCAACCAAGATACATGCCCTTGACCAGAATCGAACCCGGGACCCTTCAGTCCCCAAGCCGACGCTCTATCCATGGAGCCAAACCGGTCTCGGCAGTATATGAAGAATTTTCAATGCTCAGTGTTAAAACTCAAACAATCCAATCAAAAGGCCTGAACAGACATCTCACAAGACAGGTCGTGCAGACAGAGAGACACACATGAGCCAATGCTCAGTCGGCTGACACAGGCCCACACTCTCCCACCCTGGCACCTGCCCAGTCCCTGGTCATAGGAGATGGCGGGGCAGGGTCTCCCCGGCCCTGACAGAACTGGACACGCCTCTGGCCGCTTCCCCCCACTTCCCCCCAAATGCCGCTCCCCGCCCAGCCCAGGCCTCCCGCCCAGCCCAGGCCTCCCGCCCCAGGACACACGCCCTGGCCTCCAGGGCTGCCAGCAGCTTCCTGCCTTCCCCTCCGGCTCCCACTCTGCGAGGACATGTCCCTGCAGACACTGCTCTCCCACAGGAGGCGGCGGGAGGGATCTGTGCCCGGGGCCCTCGGCCAAGGGTCCGAGATGCTGCCCCCTCAGGCTGAGCAGGGGAGTGGCAGGCCGGGCTGTGTCCCCACCTGTTGACGGTGAGGACAGGCTGCTCCGGACGGTGCTGGAGGTGCCGTGGGGCTGAGCTGAGGACGGAGGGGAGCAGCCAGCACACAGGCTGCCGGTGCGAATGGTGGGGACGCCGAGGCGGTCCCTGCTCAGCGCCTCCCTCCCTGGGCCTGGGAAGTCAGGGGCAGAACGGGGACCCCTGGCTTTTCAGCCCATGAGTGCCTTTTGGAGGCAGGTGGGTGGCCCTCGGGGTGACACACATGTTACTCCTGCGCCACGCCGACTGCTGGAGCGCGGGGCCCATCGCCACCCCCTGGGGCTGGATAGGGGGCTGCATCTGCCCTCGGTGGCTCAGACTCCGGCTTTGCATTCCACTCACAGGAGGAGCTTTTTATGTTGCCGTTTCTTAAATCCTCACCTGAGGGTGTTTTCCCACTGGTTTTTAGAGAGAGTGGGAGAGAGAGGGAAAGATGGAGAGAAACATCGATGTCCATCGGTTGCCTCCTGCAGCCTCTGACCTGGGCTTGCAACCGAGGTATGTGCCCTCGACTGCAATCGAACCCGAGATCCTTGGGTCCACAGGCCGACAATATCCACTGAGCCACGCCGGCTAGGGCGGAGCTTTTTAAACAAGAATGCTCGGACCCACGTCCAAAGATTCTTGTTTCAGAGACCTGGGCCCCGGCATTGTGAACAAGCTGCCAACCCTTCAGCTCTCCTCGCAGTGACCTCGCCATAGCGGCTCCTCCGGGAGAAATCCCAGCGGGTGGCTTCTGGGCTGGGACTGTTAGAGAGCTCGTCTCCAGATTCAGGGCCCCTCTGACCTGAGCCCTCTGCCTCCCCCCCTCCCGGGCCGACACCAAAGTTCCGTGGGGAGCGTAGCTCTGTTCTCAGGCCAGCCACTGTTCCCGCGCACCCCGCCCTCCCTGTCTGGGGAAAATAACAAAAAGCTCCAGAGACAGGCTGCACGGCTATTAGCTTCTATGAGCCTGGAGCTAAGGATGGAGCTGGAGGCATTTGCTGCGGTTCCCACATTCCCAGCGGTTCCGGAGCCCAGCGCTGGCGCAGACGGCACTGCCCCAGACAGCCCGGCCCGCAGCCCCCGCCAAAGATCGGTGAACACAGACACGGGGATCGCTCACGTTTGGCGGCGGCCAGGGGCCCCCCTGCGGCCAGCAGCAGACACCCCAGGAAGCAGTAGGCACGCTCCATGCTGCCGGTGGTGCTCTCCGCCCCAGCGATCACTGCTCAGCTCCCAGCTCCCCAGGCTCCATCTGGAACAGCCGCCTCTTCTGGTCTCTCCCTCGCCCGCTCCTTCTTTTAATTAAATACGGGCCTCGGGGCGGATCATGTGATGGGATTAAGCAGCCTTGCCCGACGTGGCCTCTTGGGTCCAACCTCTTACAATTCATGTGCTTCTGACTCACTGGCTCCCAGCGTGTTTGTGCACTTTCGAGAGGCACTCTCAGGGCTGCAATGCCCCAGTTCCAAAGGAACTCCTGGTGACTTCCTCCCCTCGGGACCCGGCTTCAAGGCCCTTCGCCAAGTAAAATCTCCAGCTCCAGCCTCACTGATGATCCGCTCGCTGCTGTCCCTTCATGGACTCACTCACCCAGCTCAGGCTGAAATGTCACCATTAGGCTTCCTTTGCTCTAAGGGAGAGGACCAGCTCCTCCCAGCGCCAGCTAGTGCCGCAAAGATTGTGTGTGTGTGATGTATGTGTGTGTGTGTGTGTGTGTGTGTGTGTATGTATCTTTGATCACTTGAATTACGTACATGGATAACACATGTTGTGCAGAAGGTGCTTGAAACAGCTGCTCAGACCTCCAGTGGCTGAGAAACTTAAAACCACACATTATGGGGGTCCCAGGTTCGATTCCGGTCAAGGGCATGTACCTGAGTTGCGGGCACATCCCCGGTGGGGGGTGTGCAGGAGGCAGCTGGTCGATGTTTCTCTCTCATTGACGTTTCTGGCTCTCTATATCTCTCCCTTCCTCTCTGTAAAAAATCAATAAAATATATTTTTTTAAAAAAAGGTTCCTTTCTTTAAAAACAAAACAAAAACAAACAAACCCCCTCTCCCTCCACAGGTTATGATCTCTGTGCAATTCCATCTAAATCTGGAAACAGCCTGCGTGCTTTTCGGAAGCTGCTCTCACGGAATTTGCGGGAGCGCTCAGGGTCAGTCAGTTGCAGAAAACATACAGCATGTGTACGTCGCGTTCCAGAGCGCGGGCACTAAGTGTCAGACAAGCTCGGCTGGAGCCCGGATTGTGTGCGATCCGGTTAGCGCTGGGCGCAGCCTGTGCGGGAGATGTGGCCACGGGAACACTCCCTGCGTGTGGTCTCCAGGTCCCAGCCACAGAGCCTGCTCAGCAGACAGACGTCGGGGGGTGAGGGTGGGAGGTGGGGTGTTGGTTTGTGTCCCAGCTGCGCGAACAAGGAATGGAAACCCACAGAGCGTGCGTGGCCAGCTCCCTCCCCGAGGGCCACACGCGGGGCTGGAATGCCCCTCGGACAGCCTTAGCGGCAAATCTGAGGGAAAAGGCCAGAGGGAACACGCGGCTCCTGCCAGAAACCAGCGTCTTCACAGACAAATAAACCATGCACGTGTCTACGGGGTGGGAATAACCTGTATCATTCTGTCTGCTTTTTACTACAAACATGCGACGTTCGGAATTGAATAAACAGCTCCAGTTTAGGACAAACGTGCCGTGGATCTATTTTTTAAAGCATGAGTGCCCCTCGTTACGGATAATTCGTTCTGGCTTGGGTGTTTGGCCAGACGAACTCTCTCTAAATTGGAAGCAACAAAACCTTCATTAATAGGGAGACAGAGCCCGGCTGGCGTGGTGGAGCGTCGACCTATGAACCAGGAGGTCACAGTTTAGTTCCCGGGTTGCAGCTCGGTCCCCAGTGTGGGGCGTGCAGGAGGCAGCCGATCCGTGATTCTCCCTCGTCATGGATGTTGCTCCCTCTCTCTTCCTCTCCCTTCCTCTCTGAAATCAATTGAAACAATATATCAAACAAATAGGGAGACAGTCACCGGGATCAAATCTTCCTTTGGGTCTTCTCTCCTCCCCTGTCCTGTCCAGGGGCGATGAACTGGGCAGCGGGCAGAAAGGCAGGCAGGTGAGTGAGGTGAGGACCCCAGCTCCTCCTCCAAAGCACCACCAGCTGGGTCACGGGTGCCTTGAGCAGCAACAGCTGACAACATGTGAAGTCGTTTATGTCACAGGACCACACGCAGGGCTATTTTGGACAAGAAATATCCTCAAGTTTTGTGTTTATTTTTATTTTTATTTTTAGATAAACTTATACTGTACGTTAAGTTTGAAATTGTCCATTGAAAGAAGAGACCCATCTCAATTACGTGGCATCATCGACATGATTATTCAGTTTGGAAACCATGCTGAGAAAATAGTCAGCTTTTGAGAATGTACTGAATCACCTGTGAGCCTCCTGGGTCCTGACACCCCTCTTGGTGGCCAAAGTCCCTGCTTCAGGAGCAACGCCTGGGAAAGGAGGCGGGGCGGTGGGAGAGGAGTTCACACCTTTCATTTCAGGAATTGCTCAGTTCAAACTGGCGTTTTTAAGCAATAAAATAAAAAGTAAGGCTCTTTTCTCCTCCACTTCTGTAAGCAGCTGTGGTATTTGTCCCCGATTGCTACTGCAACAAGTGGCAGAGAGACTCCAAGGGCTAAAACAACGCAGATCCATTGCCTTCCGTTCCGGAAGTCAGACCCACCATGGGCCTCACTGGGCTGAAGCCAACGTGTGAGAGGGAAGCTGGGGTGAGGGCTGTTTCTTTGCCTTTCCCAGCAGCTTCCCCGTGAGTCCTGGCTCGCCGCCCCTGTCCACCCCAACGCCAGCCTGGCCCCCGGGCCCTTCCTCATACCCCACCCGACAAAGACCCTCCCTCCCAGCCCTCTCCCAGAAGGACCCTGTGGGTGCCCAAGGGCTCCCCTCGGTAATCCAGACTCATTTCCTTGTCTTAAATCAGGTGAGCAGCAACCTTCATTCCGCCTGCACCCTTAATCCCCCCTTTGCCGCCTTCCATCTCCGCAGGTTCCGGGGACCAGGAGGGGACAGCTCCGGGGCCCTTGTTCTGCCTGTTAAGGTGATAGAGCAGGTGACTTAGCCACAGAGGCTGTTTGTGCCGAAGAGCATGTGATGGGAACAGCGGTGGGAAGCACCTCTCCGAGGTGTCAGGACCTGTTGAGACAAAGCCTTTGATAACCTGGCAGCGCAGAAAGGCAAGAACAAACGGGAGATACAGGAGGCGGTTCAAAGCCAGAGGAGGCTCATGTGATGTGCCCTGGCCGCCCGGGGGCCTTTACGTGTGATAATCAGCGCCCCGGTTCTCAGATTTGAGCATTAACGAGTGACTCACGGGCTTCTGCTTCGTCTGGAGCGCCAGCCTCTGTCTGGGAGCTCTCTGCGTGAATAAGTAATAAAACAGCCTCGTGTTCGGGGTTACTAGGGTTCCAGATGACACGTCCACCAAGCTAGGTCCCCCAGCTTCTCAGGGAAAGAGGAGGAAACGGATTACGAAGGTCAGAGCATCCTTTCCCGCTCACCTCGGCAATCACAGAGCGCCCGTGGCTGCCACGTTGTTAGCCTGATGATTAGATTGAGCTCAGGGGAGGCACGGGGAGAGAGCCTTCCAGGTGGGACGGAATAATTTGGGTAGAAGAAGGAACATTAAAAAAAAAAAAAAAGTGCTGGTACAGGCTAACGTGGGGGTGAACCTCAAAAACATGATGCTAAGTGGAAGAAGCCAGCCATAAAGGCCACACACCGTATGGCTCCGTTTATATGACATAGCCAGGGCAGGCAAATCCAGAGAGAACAGGTTGGTGACTGCAGGGGCAGCGGGGCGGAGAGAATGGGGAGCGTGCTTGGTGGGTGAGGGGGTTATGCTGGTGCGATGGTGACATTTGGGGAGTAGGAAACGGTGGAGGCCCCACAGCATGGGAAAGTGCTAAATGCCACTGAGTTGCTCACTTCAAAATGGTTAATGTGATGTTATGAGAATTTCATCTGGATTAAAAAAAAACACACCAAACCATAACGCCCTAGCCCAGTGGTGGGCAAGCTCATTAGTCAACAGAGCCAAATATCAACGGTACAATGATTGACATTTCTTTGGAGAGCCACATTTTTTAAACTTCTTCCAATGCCACTTCTTCAATAGACTCCCCCAGGCTCTAGTATTTTTTTAAATATATATTTTATTAATTTCTTACAGAGAGGAAGAGAAAGGGATAGAGAGAAACATCGATGAGAGAGAAACATCGATCAGCTGCCTCTTGCTCAACCCCTGCTGGGGATGTGCCCGCAACCAAGGTACATGCCCTTGACCGGAATTGAACCTGGGACCTTTCAGTCCACAGGCCATCACTCTTTCCACTGAGCCACACCAGTGGTCAGGGCCAGGCCGTGGTATTTTGTGGAAGAGCCACAGCCAAGGAGCTAAAAAGCCGCATGTGGCTTGCGATCCACTGCCGACCACGGTCCTCGCTGGTTTGGCTCCGTGGATAGAATGTCGGCCTGTGGACTGAAAGGTCCAGGGTTCAATTCCAGCTGGGGGCACATGCCCAGGTTGCAGGCTCCGTTGCCAGTAGGGGGCGTGCAGGATGCAGCTAATCAATGATTCTCTCATCATTGATATTTCTATCTCTTTCTCCCTCTTCCTTCCTCTCTGAAATCAATAAGAACATATTTAAAAAAACAACATAATGATTAACTGTGCAATACCCTCTCTCCGGTATTCAGGGCATGGAGCTAGAAAGGGAGGATGAAAAGAAGAACATGGTACTGGGCTTGGTGGGGCTCACAGCCCTCAGGGAGGCAGCAGCCAGAGGAGGAGGCATATAGATGCCATGTCAGGGTGCACAGCGAGGGCACAGGGAGCCCTGTACGATACAATGCAACGTGAGGCACTTACAGCACGTAACCTTCCTGGGAGCCACATTTTTGAAAAGGACCGAGAGCCCTAGCCGGTTTGGCTTAGAGGAGAGAGCGTTAGCCTGCGGTTCGATCAAGGGCACCTGCCTTGGTTACAGGTTCCATCTGCGATCTGCACAGCTTTCAACCGGCCCCCCAACCCTCTGGCAGCTTTGTCTGTTTCTTGTGTCTCTGAGTCTGTTTCTGTGCTGCTTGTTCATTTAGATTCCACCTAGAAGCAGGATCATACGGTACTTGCCCTTCTCTGCCTGACGTATTTCACTTAGCACCATAATCCTTCCAAGTTCCCGTGGGGAGGACTGTGTGGACTGACTGATGTGTGTTCATGCCTGGGGTCCCGAAGGCGCACGGGACTGTCA